TTTTTTTTTTTTTTTTTTTTTTTTTTCTTAAGTCTGGCATTGTTATACTGATAATTTTCGGTTTCTACGAAAAAAAATACATAAGAAAATATAAATATAAAACGATCCCCGAGCGGTCACGGAATCATTTATAAAAGATTATATACTCCGTTGTAAAATACATGGAATTTTATTTAAATTTCCGTATGTTTTTTTTACAACCAATTTTACCGGTCATTCTACGAAATAAAAATATTAAAATGAAGCGCTTAAAATGTGAATAATTTACGAGATATTTCATATCGAAAAATAACAGAATAAAATGTAAAATAACACCGAGAGTATTTACTTTTCGATGATTTTACATCTATAATTTTGTACACAGAATTACCATAGAAATCTGTGCCAAAATGACTATATAATTCTATTTAAAAAATTGAAGTTGACATAAACAGGGCTTTTCAAAGTCATTCGAAAGTTACATAAATATTACTTTCTTTTCTCCCTTTCAATACAATTTTTATTGGAAATACTTTCTCGTATCTTTCTTAATTTCTGAGATATCAAACTGTTAAGAGTTACATGAGCCACCCTATATACAGAGTGTCCCAGTACAATCTATGAAGTTCTTGTGAGAACGTAGAGCGGGTCGACATGAACATAAAAGTTGTACACCGATTTGCGATATTTGCAATAATAATTGAGAAATTAATTGTGAAATATTAACGAAAAACGCGCTAAATCGTCAGAGGAGGAGCGCTCAAACCGTAGCGCGAAACCTATAATATAGCACACGGATGCTGGCGGTAAATGGAAGAATATTGCGCCTCTGCTTATCCTTATATCCAGAGATATGATTTCAAGCCCATGCATGCTGGCTAAGTATAGGTATTGGCGCGCCAATCACCGCGCGCCGACATCCGCGTGCTATATTATTAGGTCCGCGCTGCGCCTCGAATGCTTCTCCTCCGACCATTGAGCGCACGTTTTTCCTTAATCTTTCGCAATTAATTTCTCGACTATTATTGCAAATATCGTAAAACGGTATAGGATTTTTATGTTCACCTCGACTCGTTCTACGTTCTCACGAGAGTTTTGTAGATTTAGGACATCCTGTATATAGCTGCAATTTATATGTATTAATCAGAATCCATAATTGTTTTGAGAAATAGAATTTGATTTCGATTAGATTCTAAGATATTTCTTATGTGTGTGTATGTGTGTACAAGTAGACGCTGTATATGCCTCGAATTATTCTTTTCATATGGGATTAATAACATTATTATACAGGGTGTTCAAAAAGTCCCGGACCGGTGAAATATCTCGAAAACTAAGCATTTTAGAAAAAAATGTTTCAGATAAAAGTTGTGGCGTTTAAAAAGATGTATTTACTGATCACATCAGTTTGACCTTGGGTTGCGTAGCGAAGGTCAGGTCAAGGTCACATTAATTTTTTTAAATG